GTTTTTTAAATTTTGTATGTATATATATTTTTTTATAATCTGAGGCCCTAAATTGCAGTGTACTTAATTTGTGCATAAATCCAACACTGCAGGAAGAGTGAACAGAGAGAGAAAGGACAGAGAAGATAGAGACAGTAGGGAGGGAGTAGGGCCTGAGCAGAGTGGGGGTGTGGTCTGTGGGGCCACCGTCCGGGGAGCTTACCTCCCCAAGCAGCAGCTTCACACACTGAGGGTATGTCTACACTGCAGAGTTTTTTCAGAAAAACAGCTGTTTTTCCAAAAAAACTTCACTTACATCCACATTGCAATTGCGTTCTTTCAGAAAAAAATCGAAACAACGGAGGGGTTTTTTCCGATATTGGTAAACCACTTTTTACGAGGAAGAAGCCTTTTCCCAAAAGAGCTCTTTCCAAAAAAGGCATGTGTGGATGGGGAAGAGGGAATTCTTTTGAAAGAAGAGGAAAGAGGAAAAAGCACAGGTGCCGTGGTGACCACTCCGCCCCCAGTTATCACAGCTTAAATGTGAGCGAGCGTCCATTCAGTGTGGACGCTATCTTTCAAAAAAGCAGATCGCTTTTTCAATGTGTTTTTGCTGTGTAGATGCTCTCTTTCGGAAGAAGTTTTTTCGGAAGATCTCTTCCAGAAAAGCTTCTTCCGAAAGAAGCCTGCAGTCTCGACGTAGCCTGTTGCAGCTTCTTGGCTTGGGAACTGTCTCTCAACTTGGGTATGTACAGCACCTGACACATGAGGGCCTCAATCTCCAAAGTGACCTCCAGGACCTATTTATAAATAACAACAGAAGCCAACATTTGCCAAAAAGTGAAGCCCAAAGCCTTGAAGGTTCTCTGAATGAATCCTTCCCTTTGCTGCTGCCAACAGCATATCACAGAGGGCAGGTCTCTCAAATCTAACTCCCACCTAAGAAGCTTAATCAGGAGCTTCTGATTTAGTTTCTTAAGTGTGGGGAAAACTTGACAGAGGCTCATCACTCTTAGGCACAGTGCATGGACCAGAGCAGAAATGCAGCAGTTTTCCATGCAGGCTGGACATCAACAAGCCATTGTTTAATATCACTGCAGTCAAACTGCAAAGGGAAATGCACTGCTGCAGCATGGCTGCTGTCCCTGCCATTCCTGCAGGTGGATGGACAGCTGGGGCTGACTTTTTATACTTCTATTTTAAACAGGCACATATGCAATTGTGGAACAATTTAGCTTTTAAAATGCAAGCCCAGGCCCAAATTCTTAGACATCGTGAAATGGCCCTTTAAATGGAGGCCCATGCAGACTGCCAATGAAGATATGTGCTCTTGATTTGGGTGGTAGCAGCCTCCCATACATGCAACCCCTCTGCATAGATTACTTCTGCCAACAGCATGAATAGCTTGAATAGGGTGGAGTGCACAGACATCACTCCTGGGTCAAGGGACTCGCATTTAGACCACAGCCCTGTGTGTATAAAGTCCATTACTTGAGAATGCAAGTGACAATGCAGGAAAAAAAAATTGCATATGCAAATTATTTGCACAAACAACTGGGAGTTGAGTACATTTTGAAAACTGGGCCCATTCTGCTTACAGGGCCTTTGATGTATTCCTTTTGGCTAATATTCTTGTTTCTTCCTATGCTTATGCAGAGACCAGATGAGTGAGGCAAAATCTTTTATTGGACCAACTGCTGTTGGTGAGACAGAGAAGCTTTTGAGAGACACAGAGTTCTTCCTTAGACATTTTAACTCTAAGGTGGTATTTTAGCTGGAATCTTAGCTCTGCAGGAGCTATTGGTCTATGTATTTCCACCACTGCTATATCCAGAAGGATAAATGTCGCAATAATCAGGCTGCATGGAAAAAGAAAACAAATGTAAAGAAAGCAAATATTTTCAAAGTGTATGTTGAGTCCTGTTGTAATACAAGGCGATAAAGACTAAAAATCTGTCATTGCTGGTTATAGCTTTATTGCTTTTCAGCAAGGCCAACACCGTACATTTCGTATGCTGTGTGGTGTAGTTCTGAACTCTCCAACTGTGCATAACGGTTACATGCCAGCTGGCGCTACCCTTCCTGCGCTGGAGTATGTCACCCAGACACACTAGAGAACAATAGCTGCAGCCTGCCCCCACCTTGGCTTTTGCCAGGCAATAGCCTTGACTCATTGTCCTGGCCTTGAGAGCCTGGTCTGGAATAACATGAAAAGAAAAACCTCTTCATAAATGCAGATGCCCCATGGCACATTTTTCCTTGACCAGGACAGGAAATTATGCATTTTACCTCACCCTCTTCATACAAAACAGACGTCCACCAACTCAAACCTGCATGTGCACACACAAATACATCCAAAGATACAGACACATGTACACACACAACCAGACATGTACACCCAGATAGGGAAGCTGAATGATGCAGCTGCACAGACACACTCAAATGGGGGCACAACCAAATATGTAGACACGCAGGGACACACACAGACAGACAAAGGGATATAGGGAGGGATGTCATTTCAGATTTTGGTGGTGGGGTTTAATTTTAACCATACTTCCAGGAGCTACTTAGGTACTTGAAAACTCTAATTTTCTGGAAGATAACTTAGCAGTTAGATAACAGGCGCCCTGTAACTAATTCCTGTATGACTCAGCTCTAATAATAGCATGTTCATGCTTCTGACATCTTGCGGCAAGTCACTTATGGGACACTGTTAGGTTTCGAGTTTTAATCTATATTCTTTGTTACTATCTCTGGGTTCTCTCTCAGCTGTAGGTGGAGAGTGGGTTTGAGCAGATCACAGCAGGGTAAAATACTTTTGGGTTCTGTGTAAGAACATCAGACTGGGCATATTGGGTCAGACCAAAGGTCCATCTAACCCAGTATCCTATCTTCTGACCATAACCAATGGCAGTGCTTTAGAGGGAATGAACAGAAAAGACAATCATTGAGTGATTCATGCCTTCACCCTCTCCCAGTTTCTGGAAAACAGAGGTGAGTGACATGCAGAACATGGTGTTGGATCCCTGCCCATACTGGCTAATAGCCATTGAGGGACCAACTCTTCATGAACTTATCTAATTCTTTTTGGACCCTGTTAGTTTTGGTCTTCACAGCATCCTCTGGCAAAGAGTCCCACAGGTTGACTATGAAGAAACACTTTCTTTTGTTTTATATCTGTGGACTATGAATTTCATTGAGTGACGCCTAGTTCTGTTATTTGAAGGACTAAATTGCACTTCTTCATTTAATTTTTCCACACCATTCATGATTTTATAGGCCTCTCTCATATCTCCCCCTTAATCATCTCTTTTCCACATTGAAAAGTTCCAGTCTTTTTAATTTTTCCTCATATGAAAAGCATTCATACTCCTAATCATTTCTGTTGCCCTTCTCTGTGTCTTTTCCAGTATATATTTTTTTGAGATGGGATGGCGAATTCTGCACACAGTATTCAACATGTGGGCATACCATGGAGGTAGAGGTAATATGATATTTTCTGTCTTATTATCTATCCCTTTTCTAATGAGTCCCAGTTCTGTTAGGTTTTATTTTTTAATTGTCACTAGACAGAGTGGGTATTTTCAGACAACTATCCACAATGATTCTCAGACCTCTTCATTGATGGATTCAGCTAATTTGGGTCTCGTCATTTTAATATATTTGGGATTATATTTTGCCATGTGCATTACTTCGCATTTATCAACACTTAATTTCATCTGTCATTGTGATGCCCAGTCAGCTAGTTTTGTGAAATCCCTTTGTAACTCTTTATAACTCAGTCTGCTTGGGATTTAACTATCTTGAACAAATTTTGTATCATCTGAAAATTTCATCAACTCACTGTTGACCCTTTTTTTTCCAGTCAATTTATGAATATGTTGAAAAGAACTGGTCCCAGTATAGATCCCTGGGGGACACCACAATTTACTTCTCTCCATTCTTACTAGTTATTTTTTGTTTCTGGTCTTTTAACTGGAGTGCCTGACAATGCTTTCCAGATCATCTAATGGTCCTTTGTTTATAAACAGAGGCAAGGTGATTAAGATAACCAAAGGGTTGTCATTAAAATAAACTAAGTCCTTGCCTCAGAGGCTGTGCAGCTCCTAGCTTCCAAATTCATCACATATCACACTCAGGAGGTGTTGCAGTTAAGAGCTCTGTCTGGGGCTAGGGTGAATAGCCCCTGGTACAAAATTTGGGAGGGGACGCCTCCAATAATAACAGCAGGGACACACATAAAGGTAGATGTGCATTCATAGGGGACATGCACACACACATAACCCCAACAGACCCTGGTCTGCAGGCAGAATCAAATCTGTGACCCCCTGGACTTTGGTGTAGGACTCTCTATTGCATGAGTGATTAGCTAAGGCTGTAGAGTAGAGATGTTTTTCTTTCTGTAAGTGGCATTGATGCCACACACAAAGGACGATGCCCAAAAGGATGGACAGATGGACACATACACACATGAAGATGCCCACAAGAAGAGATGGAGGGACTGGGACACAGACACAAAAGGAGGGGCGCATACTCAAAGGAGGATTCCCAAAAGGACACCTCCCCCCCATCTCACACAAACACAGAGTCTCTTTCAGTGTCTCAGGTCAGGAATAAAACTGACCTGCACCTTTGAACTAGTGCATCCCCCCTTCCCTTAACTCCATCCTCTCCCTTCACCAACTTTCTCTCCCCTTTTCCTTATTTCTATACCTCCTCCCTTTCTTCTTCGCTTTCCCAGTCTCCTCTCCCCAAAGACGACCCCCTCCCCAGCTCTGCCCGCCTCACTCCCAGTCACCCTGCCCCCGCGAGACACCCCTCGACCCCTGGCTACTTGTCACGCTTGTTTTCAGCCTCCCGGCGCTTTGTAACTTTCGCTTTTAAGCCTCCCTGCCTTGGGAGTGGCTGCTATTGGTCCATCTGGGATAAGGCCACCACCTCAAACCCGCCAGGATTGGTTTGGCTCGTCATCAATCATTTCTAGTAGCCGGGACTGTTGAATGGGGAAGGAGAGAGGGATAAATAGAAACTGATGCGCGGAGGGAGAGAGCAGCTGCCAGAGGCCAGGAGGAGGTACCTGTGGAGGGCAGGGTGGGGGAATGGGGTGTCCAGTACCGCGTGCATAGGATGATGCAGAGAGGCAGAGTAAGAGCTGGTAAGGTGATACATTATCTATACAGTGACTATCTAATAATGGTGATGGGGATCCTGGTTACAGTCACCTGCTTTCATGCGGGTCCCTTTTGTGCTGAGGAGCATTGCAAAACTCAGAGCTCTTCCCTGGTGAGGGGTATGTTGTGCCCAGTTCCCTGGGGCGGGGTGGGCAGCTTGGGGTGGCAGCGGAGGGCTGGTGCGAAATACAGGCTGGGGAGAGGCAATGGCATGGGTGAGTTTATAGGTATTCTCCTTCCAATGGCTGACGAATGAATGGGGGCTCTAGCCTATGTGTTTTCATTGTCAGGCGGTGCGCAGCAGTGGCTCTACCCAGGGTAACGTGGGCATAGCCTGGTGTGTTTAGCTGCTTGGAGGCAGACAGACAGACAGCCTGCAGCACTGCCTGGGCAGCCACTGTGAACGATGGAGCATTTGATAGCATGTGGCCGTGGCTAAGGAACTGCGTGACTGACACAGTCGTAGTAAAAAAAAAAAATGAATGAGCACCTGCTTCCACGTCCCCTCCCTCCCTGCTGTTTTTATAGCAGCTCGACCGGGTCACGTAATTTGGGCACAAATCCTGGCTTGTCTGGCCTGGTCTTTGTGTGGGTCACTAACTAGCTCCATTTCCCACCTCTCTGCA